CGTGGTCAGGCCGAGAGGAGACGCGGGGCCCTTCACGCACCTGCCCGAGCGGAGGGCGCCGTGGGAACGGGCCACGCGGCAGGACCCCGGCCCCGCGACATCCCACAAGAGGCACAGCCGTGCAGGCAGCGAAACGACCCGCGCGAGGCCGTCACAGCGGACGCCTGTCACCGCGTTCGTCCCAGCCCCCAGAGCGCCACCGCCAGGAGGGCCGAGTGCCCCCGGGGTCTCTGGGTGACGGCGGCGTGGCCCAGTTGCTGCTTCGGTGGTAACAGGCAGGCCACGGGCGGGGGCAGACGTGGGAAGCCTCCACGCTCACTTTCTGACAGCCTTCAGCTGCTCTGAACAACTAAAGCCACTACTTAGAAGAACGAAACCTCCCGCCAGCTCCCTGCCCGCGGCCCAGACGGCTGCAGGACCGGGGGCAGGGGGGGGGGCGCAGCCCCGGGAGGCCCGGCGATGGCGGGCTCCGGTCCTCGGTGAGCCCGTGGCCAGGCAGCTGGGAGAAGCCCGTGGACACTTCCAGTAAAAGCAGTCACTCTAAACATGTGCACAGATTCCCAAGTCCCAGCCGCCACTGCCCCAGCACCGCGGCATCCCCACGTTTGGCCTGACGCCCCCCAACCTCCCCTTCGTCACTGCACCCCCAAAACAAGATGCTAATTCAATTTGACCTTAATTAATTGACTTAATTAAAAATCTGACTTCTCCCATGGGAGAGAAGCATGAGGGAAGATTTGTGGGTGGGCCAGGCTGTGGACGCCACAAACAGCGAGAAGTTTCTGCCTCCCTGACCTGGGGACGAGGGCATCGTGGGGCCGCTGCAGGCCACGCGCGCAGCTGGTGGGAGCTGGTGCACGTCTGCTCTGCGGCTGGACGGCCGGCTCGTCCCTCCCAGTGCAACACACGGTCCTCACGCTCCTCCACCCTGCTGACCCTGGCCTTCGAGGACGCAGCATCCGGGAGGGACCTCGGGACCCAGGAGCCTGGGGAGGGGGGGTTGCGGGTCAGTGCCCCAACCATGCACCCGGGGGCCCAGCACGTCCCCATCCTTCCGCGGAGCAGGGGCCCCGGCCTGAGCAGACGCCACCCCACACTGAGAGGGCCCATCTCCAGGCTGCAAGCCTCATCTTACACCATTTCTAAAGTGCCAATGACACGCCTCTTGGGTATTTGTGAATGAGTCGCTTTTCCCCTGTCACCACTGAGGCCTGGGCTCCAGCACGTGGCTTTGCCTTCGCTCTTGCCAGAAGCAAAATCGTAATGGTAATTGCTACTGGGGTCCCCAGAGGCCAGCCACTCTCCTGTCCCTCAAATGGGGAGGAAGTGGAGGCTCCGAGGAGAACCCTCACCAGGACCGTAGTGAATACCCCCCCCCATGACACTGAGCCCCAGGCAGCCTCAAGCCGCTGCATCTCCAGCACGCGCTGCAGGCTGGCGGTGCCGCAGCCCACGGCGCAGGGGTCTCCCAGCGCTGCTGTGACGGCACCGCACACCAGCCGCCGTCAAACTGCACATCCATTCTCTCCCGCTGAGCCTGGGGACAGGGGGGCGGGGGGCTGGGGGGAGAATCTGTCCCAGCCCCTCCCAGCAGCCGGGGCTGCTCCGCCCTCGTCCCAGCGCCCGCTCTCCCCGAGTGCGGCCTCCTCACCGCCCGCCCCTACGGACTGGGGCCGCCCCTCTTTGAAAGCTCCAGCTCCAAACGCAGGTGTGCCCTGAACTGCGGGGGACAGAGGGTCAACACAGCTTCCTTAAAGGACACAATTCAATCCCTGACAGTTGCCTGCGTGTGTCAGGAGTCTCAGAGCAGGTGACCCAGGGTCACGTGACAGGGTTTGCGCCCCCACATCCCAGGCGCTATCCCTTGGCTTGTCACCCATCACCCTTGCAGGACCTACCGCGTGCGGCATGTGGCATCACGCACCCCACCTCACGGAAGCGCGGTCTGCTCCTCCCCCCCCCCCCCCCCCCCGTAATCTGCCCCTTGCTGTGGTCCTGGGCCTTCCGCAGCTGCCACGCGTTTCCCAGAGCCCCTCCCTGTCTGAAACGGCCAGGAGCTCTGGCCCCGGCCTCACATAGCACCGCGTGGTTACTGGCAACGGGGTGATGGGGTGGACCCCGAGTCCCCCCTGGGCAGGAGGCCGCGGCCACAGAGGACCTGCGCCCAGGCGATGCTCGGCAAAGGTCAGGACCAGGCTTTTTTGGAACACCCGGCCCGGGGTGTGCCCTCACCCGAACACACCACGTGAGCTGGGCAGAACTGCTGGCCATGCCCCCTTCCACGGGACCCTCTTAATTTTGGAGGCAAATGCTCTTGAGAAAGATGCATTCACCAGAAGCGCCGGGGGCGGGGGGGGGGGGCACGGACCCCTGCCGATCAGAGCAGATGCTACATACTTCTTTGGGGGCCCCACCTGACTCAACAGAGCCCCTCAGTTCCCAGGGGGAGAGCGTGCGCCAAGGGTGCTCCGGGGACCATCCAATGGCCCGGGGACCCCACAGCCTGCGTTACCTGCTACCACTGGGGGGGACGGCAGGGGGACGGGAGGCGGCAGGGAGCGCCCGTGGCCCTGGTCCGGGCAGCGGAAGGGCAGCCTGGGCTGCGGGGGCTGCGGGGGCTTGTGCGCAGCGCGGGCCGGCGGTCTCCCTCCCGGCTTCGGCGCTTTCTCCCCCGATGGCAGATGCGCTCAGGCCAGTACCCACCGCGCCAGCCTGCGGCGGAGCCGGTACCGGGGCACCGCACTCGGCAGCGTCTGCGTCGTCATCAAGGCCTGGCCCACTCTGGGGGCCCCAGGACTTAGGTCACAAGCCACCCCTGCTCCAGTCTGGTGACCTGAGTGCGCAGCCACCGAGACTGGCGTGACAAGCCGCAGGCGCAGGGACCAAGGGCTTCATTTCTATGTCGGCCGCACAGGAGACGTGCCTTTTATTCAAATTGCTGCCTTTTCATATTCCTTTTGCAGCATTACATGGACTTTTCTTCCTTTTCTTTTTTTAATTTTTTTTTTATGTTTTTATTTATTTCTGAGAGAGAGAGAGAGAGAGTGTGAGCAGGGGAGGGTCAGAGAGAGAGGGAGACACAGAATCTGAAGCGGCTCCAGGCTCCGAGCTGTCAGCACAGAGTCCGACGCGGGGCTCGAACCCACAAGCCGTGAGATCATGACCTGAGCCGAAGTCGGACGCTTCACCGACTGAGCCCCCCAGCACTCCTTTTCAAACCAGGCACAGAATTAGGTTATTATTTTCTCAAAATTGCATTGCAGACGGTGAAGCAGGTATTATGGCATGTCTGCTATGGGGGGCAGGAGGCCGGCTGGTGGTGTGGCCGCCCAGGGACAGGCTGGGGGACAGAGCAGTTCGGCCATGTCCCCCCTCTGACAAGGGCCTGCACCACCAGCCGTGCACCGAGGCCTCTCTCGGGCCTCTCCCACCCACCAGGCCACGCCTGAGACCGGGTGAGGCTCCCAGGAAGACGGACCACGGTGAGGGAAGGGCCTCACACAGCACACGTGGGTACTGGTGACACGGCACAGCCGTCCTTCCGCAGGTGGTTTGCAGGGGGCCCAGGACGCCGGCTCCACCGCGGACCCTAACTGGTCACAAGGGGCACGGCCCCCCCACATCCGGGGGGGGCCACAGCACAGGTCCCCATGCAGGGAGGGAAACCTCGCGGGAGCCAGAGCCCAGACAGGCCACCGGCCCCCTGGGAGTGGGCACCACACCCCGCTGCTGCCCGACCGAAATCTACCCCCAACAAGCAGCACGCGGCCGTGTCTGGAGGAGGCCAGCCAAGTGCGTTAAGGCTCCAGGATTTCTTCAACCAAAACTCATGGTCAGACTGCTCTGGCCGTCAGAGAACGGGCTCTGAGCCGGGGACGCTTGCGCTTTCCCTACCGAGAAGTGTCCTTCACCAGCGGACAGGAAAGGAGGTGCCCGGGGTGGCCTGAGGCTTGGCCCACAGCTGCCACACAGCAGGGTGGCCCTGGGTCATCGCCGTCCGTCGGTGGGACTGTGCTTCCGCAAGGAGACCACGCGGCACACTGCCCCTTGTGTGCGTTGGGGAACGAAGGGCCTCGGCTCAGCATGTCCGCCGGGAGCAGCGCGACAAAGAGCAAGGAGGACAGGAGGCCGAAGGACCTCCCAGCTGCTCATTCTAAAGCCAAGACAGGGCCAACGGAGCGCAGAGCACAGCCCTGACGCTTCGGAACGGCTAGGACTGCATTTTCTTACTGCTTATTTTGAGAGAGAGAGAGACGGTGCAAGTAAATCCCAAGCAGGCTCTGTGCCGTCAGCATGGAGACCCACATGGGGCTCAAATTCACGAACCTCAAGACCATGACCTGAACCAAAGTTCGATGTCCAACCGACTGAGCCCCCAGGTGCCCCTCAGTGGAGACTGTCTCAGGCTTGGATGTGACATTCGCTACCTTTAAAAACCTTTACTATTCTGTCTACAAGTTCTAAGTCTGAATCCAAAGAACGAGAAAAACCCAGATCTACAAAAAGAACCGTTCCCTTACCGCCCCTGTGCCCCGCTGAGCGGGGTGGGGGTGAGGCGGAGGCTCCAGGCAGCAAAGGCCGCCAGCCCACCCCTGCCAGGCCCCTGCCCGCCAGGTCGATGGCCGGGCGCACCCAGGTGCGGGCCCCGGCAGCGGGGGCCACTTCAGGAGACAGGTCTGGAAAAACACCTTGAAACTGCGTTAACCAGGAAGTTAACAACAGTGTTGGAAAAAAAAAAAAAAAGCAAAACCATAACCCATTTTCTCAATTTGCAACATGAGTAACATTCAGGAAAGAAAGGCAGCCCGGCTGGTGTCCGGGATCCGCCCTCGGGGCCCTGGTGACCCTACAGCCCATCCGCTCATTGGAACCGCGTCTGCCCCCCCCGATCACCCACGGCATCCTGCCACGCGTGGGGAGCTGCGGTGCTGGGGGGGTGGGGGGGCTGACTTTGTTGGGAGTGCACGAGCCCCTCTCCGGCACTAAAATCATACTGTAACAACAGGAAAAAGGGAATTTATTTATTAAAGAAAACTCATCTGTGATTTCCTCTACTTAAGTTAGTACTGACTTAACACTTTGGGCTGAAACATGCCTTCTTCCCAGTAACAAGCAGCGCCTACGGGTCGGGGCAGGGAGCGTTTCCAGAGCCCCGCGGGGCACGGTGGCGGGAGGGGACCCCTCCCGGAGCAGCCGCGCCTGTAAACACGCTCGGAGGCTAGAGGTGCGGCCGGCCTGCACGCTGCCATCACACACGTGTTTAAGCAGAAGACGGGAGCGGGAGAAGGGCCCCCGAGGTCGGAGCTCTGACGACCTGGGGCGGGTGTGGAGGGCAGGGTCGGCCGGCCCCCCTTCTCCCCCCAGCCTGCGGCTCCGGCACCGGGGGGGGGGGGGGGGGGGGGCCACGCCGGCTCCCGGGACAGGCGCCCAGCAGCCCGGAGGAGCGGCCGCGCGCCTACGTGCGGTTCAGGGTCTGGAAGATCCGGGAGATCTGCAGCATGACCGGGCCCGTCTCCGGGTCATTCATCCACTGCGTGCTGTTCAGGGGGTTGTCCAGCATGTCTTCAAACGCTGCGGGGAGAGCACAGCAAGGCCGGCTCAGAGGCCGCTCTCCGCACATGGTCAAGTGCCACAAGTGCCACCGACGGGCTTTCCTCTTTGCGGGCTCTGACGGCTCTGACTCTGACGGCTCTGATGGGGCCGAAGTAGCCCCAGGGCACGCAGAGTCCCCTCCCCCCCACCCCCCACCAACGTCTGCTCTGCCCCTCCCCTCAGGGGCCCCGCCCTCCACGCGGGGTGGGCAGGTGGCGGCCCGCGTGCTCACTGGCGTGCCGTTTCAGGGAAGCAATTTGGCAATGGCAATCGGCAATCTTAAAAATAGTCGCAGCCTATGACTCAGTAATTCCACTTCCAATCCTATCCTGGCAAAATAACCGAGCGCAGAAAAGACATAAAGATGTTGCTGCAAATGTAACAGTACCTGACTGGGAAAATCAGAATGTTCAGTGTTAAGGAAATGACTTAAAAAAACCCTGACATGGGCCACCTGGGCGGCTCAGTCGGTTAAGTGTCGGACTTCAACTCAGGTCACAATCTCACGGTTTGTGGGTTTGAGCCCCGTGTCAGGCTCTGTGCTGACGGCTCAGAGCCTGATTGGAAGTCTGTGTCCCCCTCGCTCTCTGCCCCTCCCCTGCTCGCACATGCAAGCACTCTCTCTCAAAATAAATATACACATTTTAACAATTTTTTTAATGTTTTATTTATTTCTGAGAGAGAAAGAGAGAGAGTGTGAGCAGGGTAGAGTTAGAGAGAGACACAGAATCTGAAACAGGCTCCAGGCTCCGAGCTGTCAGCACAGAGCCCGAAGTGGGGCTCGAACCCACGAACCATGAGATCATGACCTGAGCTGAAGTCAGACACTTAATCGACTGAGCCCCCTGGGTGCCCCTCCTTTTAACAATTTTTAAAAGAATGACAAAGAAACCGGACACATTAAAATCTTGAGTGAGGGGCGCCTGGGCGGCCCAGCAGGTGGAGTCTGCAACTCTCCATCCAGGGTTGTGGGTTCGAGTCCCATGCTGGGTGCAGAGAGGACTGACGTCAGACAGGTATCTCCCCGCACGCGCTGTGTCCCCACAAACCCTGGCCGGGGGAACTCGCGGGCTGCAGGTGTCACGCACGTCTGGAAAGCGTCGTCCTCCCGCGGGCCTCACCCCTGCCAGCACTGGCGCGCGGGCCTCAGGGTGTGCGACGGCCAGGGCCCCAAGGGACTGCGGCTTAGCGTGCCCTGACAGCCCTCCCAGCCCTGAAAATCACTGGGGGCCGCGATCGGAACCCTCTGGAAACCAGTTACAAACATCCGGCAGGGAGGCCAGGAGGCCAGCAGAGTGCTCAGGCTGAGTGCAGGAGGCGCACGCGGGGTCAGTGAGGAAGGGTCGGCCGCTCCGTGAACACCTCCTGGCCCAGAGCCGTCCTGGAGGACAGGGGCAGGCGGCGCGGCCTGGTGCCTGCCAACGTCCGAGACTCACACCTGCCAACGTCCGAAAGAAACACCCACCCAGAACGGAAGGGCGAGCTTGTCGTCTGCACGGGTCATGGGGGGACAAGGGGACGGGGGGGTGGGGGGGACACACGAGAGAGCCCCAAGGTGGAGCCGCATCAGAGCAGCTGGCAGATGGGGTGATGGGGCCTCGGGGACAATTGCAGGCACACCGCCCCCGAGGGGCCCAAGCGCTGAGGAAGGCCCGCTCCCGCGGTGGGGGAGGTGCCTGACAACCCGCAGGGCCTGGAATGTTCCACACTGTTGTTGGTGGTTTTCTAAGTTTATTTATTTTAGAGAGAAAGAGAACAAGCAGGGAAGGAGCAGAGACAGAGAGAGAGAATCCCAAGCAGGTTTCGCACTGTCAGCACAGAGCCCGACGTGGGGCTTGAACTCACAAACTGTGGGATCATGACCTGAGCTGAAATCAAGAGTTGGACACTTAGCCACCGAGCCGCCCAGGAGTCCCCGGCTCTTTTAATTCCACGCTCAAAGCTGAAGGATAGATGTGTGGTTCTTAGTTTCATTCTTCTTCAGCTTATGAATATCACATAGGCTTCCGGATGTAGGCTTTATTTCACAATCAAACCAAGGGCCAAAGAAAGCCCCTCACAACCAGGGAGAGCGGAGGCAAACACCTTCTGCATAGTTGGGCATGGCCCCCGGGTGCTGCCCGCGCTCTCCTGGACCCGCACAGGCCACTCTACCTGGTGCTCAGATTGTCCCAGGAGGCCGCCAACCACCGTCAGAGCCCAGCCGCCGGGCCCCACGGAGAGGGGGATGGGGACCTCGCGGTCACTCGGTGACATCCGTGCAGCGCAGGGGGCCCGCCCCTGGGGAAGCCCACGTACCTAGTAACGTTTTGGGGTTGGTCAGGCCGAGCTGCACCACCGGGTTATCCAGGATGGCTTGAAAGAGGGGGCTGTCAGGGTCGATGCCTTTGTCCAGCTCCTCGGGGGAAGGCTTCCGGTCTCCCAGCAGCCACTCGCACTGCAGGCACAAAAGCCACACACACATCAGCCGCTCCTGTAGCCCCGCTGCCCCCGGCTGCCCCCAAGCGAGGGCCCAGGCCCGGGGGCTCCGAAGTCGGCGTGGCCAGCAGACCCCAGCACCGCAGTTCAGACGAACGTGCCTGCGACTTGGCAGCGGGACCCACGCGGGGTGTGGGGAAGAGAATGAAGACATGCGCAGAAGCTCCAGGCCTCGGCCCCAGGAAGTCCCGCGGAACCAGCTAAGGCCCCCGGCCGCCTCCACACCCTCCCCGGGGAGCTGGCGGTCCAGCAGCCCACGTGTCCATGGCTGGGGCCCCTCTCAGGCTCAGCCCGGCCAGCCAACGACTCACGCACACGGTCGTCCAGAGACAGAGCCCGGGGCGCATGGGGGCTCAGTCNAGAAGACGGGAGCGGGAGAAGGGCCCCCGAGGTCGGAGCTCTGACGACCTGGGGCGGGTGTGGAGGGCAGGGTCGGCCGGCCCCCCTTCTCCCCCCTCCGCGCTCTTCCAGAGACTGGCCGGCGGTGGGAAGGGGGCCACGCCGGCTCCCGGGACAGGCGCCCAGCAGCCCGGAGGAGCGGCCGCGCGCCTACGTGCGGTTCAGGGTCTGGAAGATCCGGGAGATCTGCAGCATGACCGGGCCCGTCTCCGGGTCATTCATCCACTGCGTGCTGTTCAGGGGGTTGTCCAGCATGTCTTCAAACGCTGCGGGGAGAGCACAGCAAGGCCGGCTCAGAGGCCGCTCTCCGCACATGGTCAAGTGCCACAAGTGCCACCGACGGGCTTTCCTCTTTGCGGGCTCTGACGGCTCTGACTCTGACGGCTCTGATGGGGCCGAAGTAGCCCCAGGGCACGCAGAGTCCCCTCCCCCCCACCCCCCACCAACGTCTGCTCTGCCCCTCCCCTCAGGGGCCCCGCCCTCCACGCGGGGTGGGCAGGTGGCGGCCCGCGTGCTCACTGGCGTGCCGTTTCAGGGAAGCAATTTGGCAATGGCAATCGGCAATCTTAAAAATAGTCGCAGCCTATGACTCAGTAATTCCACTTCCAATCCTATCCTGGCAAAATAACCGAGCGCAGAAAAGACATAAAGATGTTGCTGCAAATGTAACAGTACCTGACTGGGAAAATCAGAATGTTCAGTGTTAAGGAAATGACTTAAAAAAACCCTGACATGGGCCACCTGGGCGGCTCAGTCGGTTAAGTGTCGGACTTCAACTCAGGTCACAATCTCACGGTTTGTGGGTTTGAGCCCCGTGTCAGGCTCTGTGCTGACGGCTCAGAGCCTGATTGGAAGTCTGTGTCCCCCTCGCTCTCTGCCCCTCCCCTGCTCGCACATGCAAGCACTCTCTCTCAAAATAAATATACACATTTTAACAATTTTTTTAATGTTTTATTTATTTCTGAGAGAGAAAGAGAGAGAGTGTGAGCAGGGTAGAGTTAGAGAGAGACACAGAATCTGAAACAGGCTCCAGGCTCCGAGCTGTCAGCACAGAGCCCGAAGTGGGGCTCGAACCCACGAACCATGAGATCATGACCTGAGCTGAAGTCAGACACTTAATCGACTGAGCCCCCTGGGTGCCCCTCCTTTTAACAATTTTTAAAAGAATGACAAAGAAACCGGACACATTAAAATCTTGAGTGAGGGGCGCCTGGGCGGCCCAGCAGGTGGAGTCTGCAACTCTCCATCCAGGGTTGTGGGTTCGAGTCCCATGCTGGGTGCAGAGAGGACTGACGTCAGACAGGTATCTCCCCGCACGCGCTGTGTCCCCACAAACCCTGGCCGGGGGAACTCGCGGGCTGCAGGTGTCACGCACGTCTGGAAAGCGTCGTCCTCCCGCGGGCCTCACCCCTGCCAGCACTGGCGCGCGGGCCTCAGGGTGTGCGACGGCCAGGGCCCCAAGGGACTGCGGCTTAGCGTGCCCTGACAGCCCTCCCAGCCCTGAAAATCACTGGGGGCCGCGATCGGAACCCTCTGGAAACCAGTTACAAACATCCGGCAGGGAGGCCAGGAGGCCAGCAGAGTGCTCAGGCTGAGTGCAGGAGGCGCACGCGGGGTCAGTGAGGAAGGGTCGGCCGCTCCGTGAACACCTCCTGGCCCAGAGCCGTCCTGGAGGACAGGGGCAGGCGGCGCGGCCTGGTGCCTGCCAACGTCCGAGACTCACACCTGCCAACGTCCGAAAGAAACACCCACCCAGAACGGAAGGGCGAGCTTGTCGTCTGCACGGGTCATGGGGGGACAAGGGGACGGGGGGGTGGGGGGGACACACGAGAGAGCCCCAAGGTGGAGCCGCATCAGAGCAGCTGGCAGATGGGGTGATGGGGCCTCGGGGACAATTGCAGGCACACCGCCCCCGAGGGGCCCAAGCGCTGAGGAAGGCCCGCTCCCGCGGTGGGGGAGGTGCCTGACAACCCGCAGGGCCTGGAATGTTCCACACTGTTGTTGGTGGTTTTCTAAGTTTATTTATTTTAGAGAGAAAGAGAACAAGCAGGGAAGGAGCAGAGACAGAGAGAGAGAATCCCAAGCAGGTTTCGCACTGTCAGCACAGAGCCCGACGTGGGGCTTGAACTCACAAACTGTGGGATCATGACCTGAGCTGAAATCAAGAGTTGGACACTTAGCCACCGAGCCGCCCAGGAGTCCCCGGCTCTTTTAATTCCACGCTCAAAGCTGAAGGATAGATGTGTGGTTCTTAGTTTCATTCTTCTTCAGCTTATGAATATCACATAGGCTTCCGGATGTAGGCTTTATTTCACAATCAAACCAAGGGCCAAAGAAAGCCCCTCACAACCAGGGAGAGCGGAGGCAAACACCTTCTGCATAGTTGGGCATGGCCCCCGGGTGCTGCCCGCGCTCTCCTGGACCCGCACAGGCCACTCTACCTGGTGCTCAGATTGTCCCAGGAGGCCGCCAACCACCGTCAGAGCCCAGCCGCCGGGCCCCACGGAGAGGGGGATGGGGACCTCGCGGTCACTCGGTGACATCCGTGCAGCGCAGGGGGCCCGCCCCTGGGGAAGCCCACGTACCTAGTAACGTTTTGGGGTTGGTCAGGCCGAGCTGCACCACCGGGTTATCCAGGATGGCTTGAAAGAGGGGGCTGTCAGGGTCGATGCCTTTGTCCAGCTCCTCGGGGGAAGGCTTCCGGTCTCCCAGCAGCCACTCGCACTGCAGGCACAAAAGCCACACACACATCAGCCGCTCCTGTAGCCCCGCTGCCCCCGGCTGCCCCCAAGCGAGGGCCCAGGCCCGGGGGCTCCGAAGTCGGCGTGGCCAGCAGACCCCAGCACCGCAGTTCAGACGAACGTGCCTGCGACTTGGCAGCGGGACCCACGCGGGGTGTGGGGAAGAGAATGAAGACATGCGCAGAAGCTCCAGGCCTCGGCCCCAGGAAGTCCCGCGGAACCAGCTAAGGCCCCCGGCCGCCTCCACACCCTCCCCGGGGAGCTGGCGGTCCAGCAGCCCACGTGTCCATGGCTGGGGCCCCTCTCAGGCTCAGCCCGGCCAGCCAACGACTCACGCACACGGTCGTCCAGAGACAGAGCCCGGGGCGCATGGGGGCTCAGTCTGTTAAGTGTCCAACTCTCGGTTTCTACTCAGGTCATGATCTCGAGGCCTCACAGGTTCGTGCCCCATGTTGGGCTCTGTGCTGACAGCACGCAGCCTGCCTGGGATTCTGTCTCTTCCTCTCTCTCTGCCCCTCCCCTGCTCTCATTCTCTCTCAAAATTAACATGTAAACTTAAAAAAAAAAAAAAAAAGGCCCAGAACTCTCTCCGTACATAAAACATGTTGAACTGTGACACCATTTACTCCCTCGGCAGCAGGACAAGGGACCACCTGAGACAGGAGCGCGTCCAGGCTCCCCAAGGGGGGCCGCGCGGGCGGGGAGGGCGGGCGACCGGGGCGCAGAGGTGTGGCTGGTACTCACGGCGGCGCTCTGCTGGTTGTTGTTCACTCTGAGGGCATCCATCACTTCCTTTTCATCGAATCCCATCTCCATCAGGGAAATGACGGCCTGAAGGGGAACCATGGACCACTCAGTGCCGCCCTCGCCGGGGACGCACCACCACTCGCCACGGAACTGGGCCGAGTCCATGCGGCCCCAGATCCGCGCTCGGAAGCTGCTCACCAACATGCCACGAGAGGGCCACGGCGTCAGCCCCGTTCAGGTTCGTCCCCGTGTGTGGGGAAAGGTCTCCAGCCCCCCACCGTGAGCTCACTGCGGGGCCCCAGGACCCGGAACGGAAGGTGTCGGGGAGAGACCGCGAGGTAGGCAAACCCGACTGAGGTGGAGAAAGACTGTCCCCCTCGCTTGCGGGAAATAGGCCTCTGCAGACTCTATCCCTCAAATGTGACACTAAAATTACCTTCAAACATCTTACAGTTAATACGACGTAAGCTGTAAATACGAACATGTGCTAATTCTCCGAGGGAACGATGGCCCAAGTTCAGTATCACGGGGACGGGAGACGTACGATTGAGGACAAAACCCACGAGACACGTTATGTCCTTCACTTCACTACCGACTTTATCGTACAATCTTTAAAATGGTTGATTTTGGGGGAAAAATAAAAAAGGCAAAGATTTCATCAAGTTAATTAATTCTCTAGACAGGGCCCCAGGGTTCTCAGGGCACCCGGCTGGGGGGGTGCAGGGGGGCCACGAGGCAGCACCGTGCCGTGACCCCCCCGCTTCCCCTTCCCGAGCCGGCTCCTAACCCTGGGGGGGGGGGGTGCAGGGGGTCCATGAGGCAGCACCGTGCCGTGACCCCCCTGCTTTCCTTTCCCGAGCCAGCTCCTAACCCGGGGGGGGGTGTGCAGGGGGTCCACGAGGCAGCACCGTGCCATGACCCCCCGCTTTCCTTTCCCGAGCCAGCTCCTAACCTGGGGGGGGGCAGGGGGTCCACGAGGCAGCACCATGCCGTGACCCCCCGCTTTCCTTTCCCGAGCTGGCTCCTAACCCGGGGGGGGGGGTCCCACCCACGAATCCTGGGAGAAGAACCCGCCATGCGCTAGTCTGACCCCAGGGCACAAAAAATGGCCAGGAACTTCCCGCCAGATTCAAGAGGGTGGCCTTCCTGTGAGTGTCAGTAAACGCCTTCCTGTTCCTTCACTCACCCCCGGCTCGGCCTGGGGAAACCACGCCACGGTCCTTCTGCACGGACGGTGACGCTGGGCATGCGCCTCAGCCCGCCCGCCAGGGGCCGCATGCTCTCAGCTCTCAAGACCAGGCTCCGCCTGCCCCGCGCACCGCACTCACCGGCCCCCCACGGCAGGCGTGGGCACAGGGGACGGGGAAGCGGCAGGAAAGCCTGTTTTGGGTTCAAGTCCAAGCGCTGCTCCCCGATCCAGATCCTGGAGCCACACTGACAGCCCTGTCCTTCCAGACTGTTCTCTCACATACTGAGGGACGAGATGGTGTGAGAAAGCAACGTCCTGGCCCCGCCTCGACAGCCTTTTGTAATAATCATCACAGAACATCTACCAGAGGGGACAGGAAGGCCTGGCACAGGCGCACGTCTTGGGAGAAGAGCAGAGCAGACTGAGCGACACCTACGTTATGAGGTCGAGAGGGCAGCAAGGACCACCAGCTGGGCAGCGGGGGCGGCTGAGGACACTGTGAGACCACCCCCCAGGGACACGGCGTCCCTCCCACGGGGCTCAGCCAGCACCCGGCCAGGCTTCAGAAACACCAGCTGCAGGCGGCACAAACAGGTCCAAGTGCACAGCTGAGCTCACGAGAAAGCAGCCAGGGAGGGGGCGGGAGGCATTAGCAGGGCCTGCGGTTGGGGTCTAATGTGCAACACACAGAACGTGGGCCTTGGGTCCACGCGAGGTGACGAGCTAGAGCTTAAACCCAGGACCCTGGGAAGGGTCTGCACCCCCAGAGGGACAATGAGCCGCAAAAGCACCGGTCCCTGTGCAGGAACAGCCAGCCCCTGAGCGGGGCCTACACCTGCGTGGTCAGCACAAACCGGGCCCCTGGTGGGAGGTGCCACGCAGCCCAGGGAAACAAGTGCCCAATCAGCCTGGCGGGCATCCCACAGGCCACAGGGGAGCCCACGCTGGCAGCACAGCACCCCAGGCAGAATCAGCAGCACATGGACTTGGAGCCCTAACACCTCGAGCTGACGGATCTATAATCCGAAAGGAAACCACAGCCTTAAAACACAGAGAACATTCTAGAGGAAAGCAAGAGCCCAGTAGAAGAACGGAGCAGTGGAGAACAGGGAGTCACAACAGCACGCAGGATGAGGTGGCCTGAGGGGCGGCCACACACCAGACACGGACGTCAGCTGCCGAGTACCGCCCGAGACAGCTGGACCCCAGGTCCTTACACCCTGCACACACCCCGGCTAGCGGATGGTCAGAGCCTTGCCGACTCCCTGTCCCCTGTCCTGTCTCCGGGCAGTGTCCCCACCAGCCTGAGGTCACTCACCACCCACAGCGGGAACGTGGACAGGACCCTGTTGTGAGAGTGCACGTGACAAATGGGCCACCCAGACCCGCGTAGGGCAACTGAAAACGGACGTTGGGCCTGACGACAGCCCTCACCCGGGTCTAGCTTGCTCCGCCCGGCGCAGCACCCACCCCCCACAGTGGAGAAACCCCGCCAGGCGGTGCCAGGCCCAGACACATACCCGAGCATCAGCCCGGAACTCCCTTTTCCTCCGGATCTTCTTGAAGATCTCCGTGAGCTCATCCCTGGGCTCCTCGTCCCCCGCGTCCCCCGTGCTAGTCCCGGCTGCCTCGGAGGCACCCTCAGGGGCGGCCTCAGCTCCTCCGGGAGAGGCCTGGCCTGGAAGAGGCGAGTCGATGGTCGGGTCTTCCGCGTGCTCGATCAGCCACTCCATGGCCTGAGGCACCGACATGCTGAAAGGTGACAAGAAGCTCTTCCCACCAGCCCAGGCGACCGAGGAGGGCCTCCCACCTCCTCCCCCCGCTTTCCCCCCGGAAGGCTCTCTGGCCTCAACGACTTCTCTAGCAGGAGCTGGTGACCCCTTGGGAGAGGCCCTGGCCCCTCGCTCTGAACTCCCTCAAGACCCCGGCCAGAACACAGAGACCCGTGTACTAGGCAAGGGGCACGAGTTCACGAAGAGCACGGGGGAACCGGGGCCCCCGACCGTCCCCCGGCTTATCAGTCGCTCGCTAAGAGCTGAGTGTAGACGCAGAGGCGAGCAGCTACGGCGGGGAAAGGGCAGGAGGCTAAGGGGACCCAGCTCCGGGCCACCGTGTGCCCACCACCCGCCCTGTCCCCAGCCCTCCCCCAAGGTGAGGCCTTCTCACCGTCCGGGGACACTGGAGGTACCTACCAGGTTACCCTGGGGACGCGCGTGCAGAGTTTCTCTTTAAAAACTCACATCTATTAGAACTGGTTCAAAGAGTTTGGGACGGAGGACGTCACCCCGGGGACCCCACAGCGGCGGTGGCAAGGGGACAAGGTGGCCTGCACGTACTGGTTCAGCCGCAGGGCCTTCGCGGCCCTGCTCTCCGGGAAGCCCATCTCCGTGAGCTGCCGCAGGGCTGCCTCGTCCACTCTCCCGTCTTCCTCCTCATCCAGCATCGCTGCGGGCCAGGGATGGGGCGATCCGTGAGGGCCCGGCCAGTACAAGGGGCTTGGGGTCCCCCCGACCCTCAGCAAATCCACACGGACACCTCAGCCGGCACCCGTGTGGACAGGAGCCCCGGGTCAACAGGGAAGCACAAACGGAAAGCACCTGACCCCGGGTGTGAACGGGCGTGGCCAGAGCGCAGGTTGCATCAACCTGGGGCTGCTCATACCATTCGCCTTCTTAAACAGCTCGACTGCATCTGGGTTCAGCGCTAACAACTTCTGAGCCACCTCGATGAGAGACACCAGGATCTTCCGGAGCTCCGTCTGGAACTGCGGGGCAAGGAGAAAAAGGCTCTTAGCGCCCCGCGTGCCCGAGACCTGCTGGGACACGTAACCATGCTCCTGGGCCCCGCGCCTCTGCATCTCTGAGTCCCAACTATGCTGCTGCTGCTTCCTGCACACGGACACCGACAGAAGCAGAGGTGGGTGACACCAGGAGGGTCTGCGCCGGGCGGGAAGAGAGGCCTCGCGGGCACAGACGGGCCACAGGCTCTGCCCCTGGGCCGGCACAGAAAGCACCGGGCATGTTAAGTGCAGGGGCACAGCCTGACCGGATGGGCTCCCGGCACAGGCCTCGAGCTCTCACTGGGAAGAAGGATGCCATGAGCGCAACCAGATCCCCCTGCGGATGGGTCCCCGGTTCCATGGGCGACATGGGGGCCCCCGTTCATTCCCACAACAGGCCTGACACTGCAGGAGTGGCACCGCACGGGGCAGGCGCACGGGAGCCCGATGCCCTGCTGGACAGGGCGCGCCCTGCCGCAGAGGCGCCCCAGCCCAGGCGGCCACGCGGTCCCGGGCTGCAGGGCACCGGCGCACCCTGCGTCCTGGGCCGCTCCACAGGACACGGGATACACTCTGCTTTGTCAGCTCAGAACTCTGCAGCCCAAAATTACTCAAAGTCTCGATTTCTCTACTAGTTTTTGCCAAACTTAGGGTAAAACTCTAGTATTTTCTCAGTAGCATCTACCTTTGTGGTTCTGCCTTCCAGTATCTTCTTAAACTTTTTATTTTGAAATAATCTAAGGTTTACAGAGAAGTTGCAAAAATGTACACGGAGCTCCTGTTTGCCCCCCCACCCCCACCCCAAACTGCACGGCACGGCCCACGGTGAGCACTTACGTCTCTGACATTAGTCTGGACCTCAGCCCGGTCCATGTTGTAGGAGGGGAGGTTGGCGGTGGCCCGGAAAATAGCTTCTCTATCTGGGGCTTTCTCCTCTTGCTTTTTCTACACAGAAGAGTAATCAGAAAGTCTGAAATGAATAGGGCGCCTGGGAGCTCAGTCAGCTAAGCCTCCGACCCTTGAATTCAGCTCAGGTCATGCTCTTGTGGCTTGTGAGTTCGAGTCCCACGTGGGGCTCTGCACTGACAGTGTGGGGCCTGCTTGGGCTTCTGTCTCCCTCTCTCTGCCCCTCCCTCACGCATGTGCATGTTCTCTCAAAAACAAACACTAAACAAAAAAGAAAAGTCTGAAATGAATATGAGAGCAGGAAAAGGCAAGACTCCGTCAGCAGGACGCACGGGGCTCCAGCGGGGAGAACCCCTTTCCCAGGGCGCTGGGGCTGTGCTGGCCTCACAGAGGGTCCCTGCAGGTTCTGTGCGCATCCTGGGGGACAGAGGACAGGCTGCTCGGTCACAACCAGAGGGTGGCAGGGCAGGAGAGCAGCCAGGCACAGTCTCTCGCGGCCACAGGGAGACCAGCACGCGTGAGCCGCAGCCGTGCCGGGGCGCCCAACGCGGCAGCACATCCGTACTGGACAGCAGCGACTCCCGAGGCAAAGAGAACTGTTCTTCCAAGACGGAAAACAGACGGGGGTCCACAGAGCAGGAGTCCAGCCAGAAACAAGGGCAGGCCGACGCCACGGCCAAGGGAAGCGCCCAGGTTGGGAGTGAGCGGCCGAATGCTCCTCTGCCACCCTGCTCGGCCAGCAACCACCCTGGAGGGGGCAGGCTTGGGGAGCCCGAGCCATGGAGCCTGCGCTCAGCAGCAGGAAAACGAGGCACCATCTCAACCCTCGACGAGACCCAGCCCCTGTGCTCCTCGGCTTCAAGGACCCCCGGTGGGAGACACACCGCTGTGGGGAGGGAGGGACAGGGCCAAGTCTCTGCCCTACAGGGAGCCCAGCAGCAGGCACGACCCTGGGCACAGAGAGCAGCCGGTGAGCCCCCGGCGCTTCGTATAGAGATGGCAGCCGAGGAGGGCGGGGGGGAGGAAAGCCTCCACACGAAACAAAGACCAAAGTGAGAACGGGGAAGGTAAGAAAGTGCAAAGGAGAGAACAAAAGGAAGACGACTTCACACCAGAAAACCCTCAGAGAGATGGGGGCACAGCACCATCGGAGAGGGAGACGCCGCTGGGAGACGGAAAGTTTCACCACCGGATGAACGGCCATAGCAGTTAGGGGGAAACGTCCAGGAAATCGCCAGCATCCAACTAAAGGGACTCCAGAAAGAGGGAAGAGAACACGAGGGGAGGGCATTCCCCAAAAACAACCCAGAAAAATTTCTGGAATGAAAACCCACGAATATCTGACCCTATGTGCCAGGCAGCCGAGGGGTGGGGGGTGAGGGGGCAGAGATCTGCATCAATGCAGATATGAACCTTCAAAGCCCTCAGGAGCCTGGGAGATGCTAAAAGACCCCGGGGGTGGGGGAGGAGACGAAGCAGAGCAGGTACAGGGGACAAGTCAAGGCCGAGCAGCTCCCGCCGCAGCGCGGACACCCCGGAGGCAGGGCCCAGCACCTTCACCAGCACCACTGAGCGCCGAGGACAGGGCCTCCAGGCTCCCTTCCCTCCCAGGTGCTAAGGGAAGTCAGGTCCCACCAGATAAGTCAACTGTAAGATACTCGATACTTCAGCCAGAACCTGCATCTGGCCCTAAGAGCCCATGCCCGGCAATCATGCCCGCACAATCCCAGGGCCTGTGCACAAGACGGATTCCGTCCTGGGGTGAGATGAGGCTGTGGCAAATTTAAGTAAAAGAAATTTAAGTAAAGGAAATGACCCTCCCCCCCCCCCCGGTGGGCCTGACCTAATCAGCAAGCCGTTAAAAAGGACAGTACTCTTTCTGGCCGGAAGGAGATTCAACGCATGAGAAATTCTATCACTGGCTCTGAAGATGCTGGGGACTGTGTGGCAAGGAATGTGGCGGACTGGCTACCGAGCAAGAAAACGGGACCTCGGCCCGTCAGTGGCAGGAACCGCCAACCACCGGAATGCACCCAAGGCAGACCCTTCCCCAGAGCCTCCCAAGAGGAACACATGCCAGCCGCACCTTGATTTGGACCCAAGAGCCTAAGGCAGGGCCCAGCCGAGCCCACCCAGACCGCTGGCCACAGACCCGTGAGCCGCGTGCTGTCTGTGGGTACGAGGCGGGCGGCAGCAGGGAGCATACAGATATTCAAGGTTCAGAAGCTCCAACACAGGGGTGAGGCGGGAAAGCCTAGAAGCCACTGAGGCAGAGGGATGCAGCTGGAGGGGGCTGGAGGGACGTTTCCAGGACAGCGGGAGCTGGCAGATGGCCTTACACATGTGACTCTGTTTTCAAAGGGATTTATCAATCCCCACAAAGACCGAAAAACTTAGCAATAACCCTGTAGAAAGCAAAAGGAAGAGAGGCGCCTGGGGGGCTGGGTGGGTTGAGCGTCGGACTTCAGCTCAGGTCATGATCTCCCAGTCGGTGGGTTCGCGCCCCGCGTCAGGCTCTGTGCTGACAGCTCGGAGCCTGGAGCCTGTTTCAGATTCTGTGCCTCCCTCTCTCTCTGCCCTCCCCCATTCATGCTCTGTCGCTGTCACTATCTCTCTTTCAAGAATAAGTAAACTTTAAAAGAAAACAAAAGGAGGCGGCAATGGGGGTCCAGAAGAAAGAAAGTTGTATAAAAAAAAAGGATAATCTTAGTACCCTTCACTCCTAACAGAAAACCACACATACACACTAATCCTAAAAGAAACTCTAAAATCCTCAACCGGCGTGGAAACCACCAGCGCTGTGATCTAACACACCAAACACCACGGAGCCAAAGAATCCAAAACTGACATTCTAAGAAATAACAAATAATGTGTGTTGTTTAGCAATCAGGCAGAGAATCACCAAGGGAAACACAGAATGAGTTAAAGAGGTCGCCTTTACTCTCTCAAAAATAAACAAATATTATAAACAATTTTTTAAAAAGGCTGCCTTTAAGAGCATGTGACTCAGGTGGGAGCGGGAGACACGGAGAGGCAGGCAGCACCATCTGCCTTCATAAACACGTGTTATCTTCACTTAAAATTGACAATAATTCACAAAAAAGAGCATTGTCTTACAATGTTTCATTTTGCAAATACGTGTGGGGACAGGGTGACCTGCCACGTGAGGTCCACAGTTGCAACTCACCCAGAGCCACCATGGTGGTGGGAACCCCACTGTCTGTCTACACTGGCCACCAAGGGCCCGCACTGCAGCCAGAGAGCTGGTCGCCCAGACAGTCCCCAGGCACAGCAGCGGCAGGCCCAGACCTGAGTCCCAGAGCTGGGGGAGCAGCTGGCCCGTTTCTGTGCCAGCGCCGTGGCCAGGTGTGGCCGCAGATAAGCTCCCAGGCACTGCTCTTGTGCCGCCTGTCCCAGAGGAGACCCTGAGATAGCTCGCTGTTTGGGGGCCCACGCCCATGCAGTCCACCCTGCTTTCTCCGGGGTGAACGCCCTCCCCAGCATTTCAGAGCATGAATAAGAAACTCCCCAAGATACATGAAGGAAAATTGTGAAATGAGCATGGTGGCCCCTTTAAAACAGCACTGTTTTGCACCTGGGCGCGGGTGTGGGGGTCCCCGGCCCCTCCAGGAACTTCCCAAGCACCAGCCTGCACTCCTGGGCCAGGGGCCCGAGCGTGTGCCCACCACCCCTTGCCCGCGCTGTGGGTGCAGGCCCACCGGGGAGAGGAGGAAGGGCACGGGAGAGCTGGGTAGCCCAGAGGACAGAGTGCCGGCCCCACGGCCAGCAACCAGGAGAGGCTGGGCCGCGACCAAGAAGCCCCATGACCATGGCCGTGACCGTGGGACGTGCTGGGTCTGCAAGCAGCCAACATCCAGAACGCCTCTATGTCTTGGGCCACAGGCCTCAGGCCGACAAAGACTCCCAGCTCCAGGCAGAGCCTCACCTTCTCTTCAGCGGACACGTCGGCCATCCTGGGCAGCGGGCTGGGGGCGCGCTTCTTGATCAGCAGCAGCACATCTGGAAAGAACACGCGCCTATCAGCCTGGTGACCTCTTCTCTGTGAAACGGCGCCGAAGGACCCAAGGACAGAGCGGAGGGGGCTCCCTGGGGTGCCGCCCACGCCATGTGCTCACACAAGCCCCGTGCCCCCCGGCTGGGGTCCCACCCAGCACAGCCCTGACGACCGTGCCAAGAACCGGTGGGAATCTCGCAAAATGTTCTCATTTCAACGGGCTCCGCTCTCGGAGGCTGGGAGCCGGCCTCAACCCTCGGAGGCGAACCTGCGGCGTGCGGGGAGACCGCGGTCCTGGGCCTGAGCCCCATACTCCCTGGAGGTCTGTGAACAATAACTCTGAAATGGGTTATTTAAGAGAATCCCAGGGGCGGCTGGGGGGCTCAGTTAGTTAAGTGTCTGACTTCAGATCTCATGGTTCGTGAGTTCGAGCCCCACGTCGGGCTCTGTGCCTGGAGAGCTCTCAGAGCCTGGAGCCTGCTTCGGATTCTGTTTCCTTCTCTCTGTCTCTCACCCACTCACACTGTCTCTCTCTCAAAAGTAAATAAACGTTAAAAAAATTTTTTTTAACTAAAAAAAAAAAAAAAAGAGAGAGAGAGAGAGTGAGAGAATCCCAGAATTAAAACCATCCCCGAATGGCACACAGAAAACTAAAAGTCTCTCCTGACACCTCCAGACATGAGTCCAGGCCGCGGGACAGATGTGTCTGTAACAGGAGTCCCTTCCCGGGAGGCCGGAAAGCGCCGCTGCACCCCTGCTGTCCGGCCGCACGACGGGGCCGGGAGCAGAGCCGCGGACCCCAGGTTTGCTTGGAAACAGAACCAAAAATAAGGCTCAGAGCTGGTTCCTGAGATGGAAGCCACCTGTTCCAGTTCGGTCTGTGCTGTTTTTCACAAGCGTCCCCCAACGCGCACTTTGTTTTAACAAACGGAAAATGAAATCGTCGCAGGGGACCCCGGTTTCCTGCTTGGCCCCAGAGCGGAACACAGCCGTGGACGCCGGGGGTGCCTGTGCCTCTCGGGCCCCAAGTCCCGTGGGTGCCCCGCGAGGCCCCTACCTTGGTCTTGGACGTTCTCTTCCAAGATTGTTCTGGCATCACTTAGCACCCTCTCTGAGGCAGCGTGTATTAATTTGTGATGGGTCACACTTTTGGGGTCTTCTAAGCTCCCGTGAGCACACTGGAGGGAAGAATCACACATTTCAAGATAGAAAATAAATAAATCGTAATCGTAACGCTATAGGGCCTGACCCCCAAACCACAGCAGGAAGGTACTGGCTACTACTTGCTAAAAAGTCAAAGCACAGACGAAGTCAAAGATTTCCCATCGATGGCAGAAGCCAAGCAAAATGCCACAACATCTGATCTCCTAGGGCAGCGATGTGTCCAGCAACCCACTCAGTCGTCCAGAAACAGGCTCACAGTTTGACATGAAATACCCTGCAGGTAATTAATAGCAACCTGAATCGCTTCCTTAGTCAGAAAGATCTGGAGAGTCATTTTAAAACGAAAAGAGCAGGTCCGCTCTTTCCTGAAAACCTAAAAACCTAAGTATGATTTGAGCACTTTTTCTTTCTTCCAGACTCACGGGAGGGGCTGGGAGACGGTGGAGAGAGAAGGCAAGTCCGCAGACACCTACAAACAGGGGCCTGACAGCTGAAGCCTGCAGACTCCAAGAGAACCACCAGCCTTCGCTCTGCCCTTGGCTCACACTCACGTGCGGCCACCACACGGGCCCTGAAGCTGCAGGTGCCGCGGGTGGGACCCCTCCTGGGCGGCCAAGGGGGGCTGGCTGACCGGCACACAGTTACGGCCCGCTTGCCAGGGCCCCAGGCGCCCCAGGATGTGGCACTGGGGCGGGGGGACAGGGGCACTGAAGTCCAGGCAGGAGGCGGCCACAGCAACACCCGGTGCACTCACATCGACAGACGAGGCAAAGGCGGCAGAGGAGGCGTCCAGACGACACTCAGACACTCTCTTCCATGTCTGACAGCAGATGACACCCCCCCACCCTCCGCTGGCCTTGTATTCGGCTCTGGCTCTGCTCCCGGAACTACTGGGTGTGCTTCTTCTAACTGAAATTTGCAGGCTAGCTGATCTGACCGGTTCAGAACACAATCTATGAAACACAATTTTCCAAAACAATCCCCACGTGGCCCCCGGGAAGCCTGTACTCCGCCGCACAGCCACAGCATGCCCGGCGCACAGCGCAGGCGTGAGCCATCCAAGCGGCGCACATGACTTCACTCTGCTCTTTTGTTCTCAGCAGAGGCGCTCCGCACAGGCGAAGATCCGCAGCGGACAGCCCAGTGCCACAGCCTGGGGGCTGACACTGCCTGCAGCTGCTTCCTCCCCAGAAGGGTCAGCAGGCCGGTCCCCTACACATGACAGGACATCTGGAGGCACACGGTCATACGATCCAACAGCCACATTAACCAGTACTGTGTCACGTAGTGGCAGTTTCACAAGAGACCCCAATTTACATGGAAGGGAAGGGGGGTAAGGGGAAGGGGAGGGGAGGGGAGGGGAGGGGGAAAGGAGGGGAGGGAAGGGGAGGGGAGGGGAGGGAAAGAGCCACAGAGCCATCAGTGTGTTCGAGCGTTCTGATGAACATCCCTGGCTGACACAGCAATACGCTCCCAGGA